CAGCTACATGCAGCAAGGCTGGAAAGGAGGCACCAGCTCTGGGTGGGGGTGGGCCACGCCCAGGAACCTAGCCTCTTCGGGGCCCTGAGACAGCAGGCACCAGATCCAGGAAGAGCACTGCACCTGCCTTATAAGGCAGCCTTGGGGAGACTTGGCCGCTGTCCTGTGGAGCCAGAGGGGGGTGGCCCCGGGGTGTGGAGCCAGCAGCCACCCACTTGGCTGGGTTCTGGTTCTGCAGCCCAGCCCCATCCAGAGACAGAGAGGACCACAGTGACCTTGAAGGGCCACAAGGAAACTACCAAGTTGACAGACAGGCTGACCTTGGACACCAAGAGCCCTGTATACAGCACTGAGCTCAGCCCCCCAGAGGCGGGGAGCTCAGACCTGCCCTGGGCTCCCCACCTCCCTCTCTCCCTTTTCAGGCATAGAGGACTCCTACTTTACTCCCTGAAATGTTTACCCCACCAGGAACTCCGCCCCAAGCCAACATCCTACCCAGGGCCCTGTGGAGTTCTCTGCACATCCACCCCACCCCTAGCCAGCCCTGAGGAGATGGCCAACTGGTAGGCAGGAGAAACCCAGTGAGACACAGAATCTTCCGGTTACCAGGCCTCCACCTGCAGGGGCCACCCAAAGTCATCTCCATCTCACCACCTCCAGGTCACTCCAACACCTTTTTACCGAGCACCTACAATGCGATCTCATGGGATTCTCTATTAAATGCAAAGATAATGGCTCCTGGGGCAACCTAGACTGGTGTGAAAGAGCTGTGAAGAATACGTACCTCAAATGTAAAGGACATCCCTGGCTTATAGAAAATATTAGAATTTAGAATTTCCATCTTCTATATTTTCTCTGTTTTAGGAAAAGGGTAGTATATTACTTTTGCAAGTTGAAAACTTCTCACATTGAAAAAAGTCTAACAGAAGGGAAAAGGTTCATACAAAAATAATTTACATCCCAAACTGAACACCAGGTCCTTCCAGGAGAAAAGACGCAGAAATGCTCAGGAGTCAGGGGAAGTGAGGCTACTTTCAGTCTCAGGAAAATGTGCAGGGGCTGGAGGGACGCATGGGATGCGCAAAGCAATGAGGCCAAGAGGGATGGGAGCCAGGGCAGAGGACTGCAAGGATGGTGTGGGGGCAGGCGGAACTGGGGCACCGGGCCTTGTGAGCCGAGCAGGGCTCAGGCTCAGGGTCAGAAAGGATTTCATCAGCGCTGCTCTAGGGTCAGCCTGGGAGTGTTCAGCCAGGGCCCAGAAGACCCCATCCTAGGGGCAGCAATAGAAGAGGGATGAAAGTCTGACCCAAGGGCAGAGAGATCGCTGTCAGGCCAGGATCTTAAATATCCCTTGAGAACCAGAGAGATAGCTCAGTGGACTGAGCATCTGCCACGCAAGCACAGGGACCCAGATTTGACCCTTGGTACTGCAAGCCATGCCGGCCCCGCCCCAGGCCCACTGAGCTGGCCACCAAAACTGGGTGTGGTGGTGCATGCCTATAATCCCAGCACTAGGGAGGCTGAAACAGGACGATCACTACGAGTCCGAGTTGTGTAGCAAGGCCCTGTACCAAATACATAAGTTTTTAAAAATAAAAATAAAATAAAATATCCCTTGAAAGGCTCAGAGATAAGGGTTTGGAAGGAGACTAGATTTCAAGGGCTCTATCATCAGATTCACTCACTGATGGATTTATTGGGTGATAAAAACTTCGGAGGTGGTGGTCATGGGGCGGTGCCTTGGGAACTGCATCTGGTGCCCAGCCTCTTCTAGCTGTCTCTCTGTCTCTTCCTCTGTCAACCTCCCCGCTGCCTTAGGTAAGCAGTTTTGCTCCATACTGCAGCCCAGAGCCAGGTGATTCTGGACTGAAACCAGAGGCCCAAATAAGCTCTCCTCCTTAAATTCCTCTCGGGCAGCGCCAACCTGACTCACACACCCTCCTTCCCCAGGCCTCCCCAGGCGATGCCAGCTGGGCCTGGGTAGTACAGGGCCAGGATGACCAAGGAGAGCCATCAGAACAGAGCCCCTGGGGGCACTGGGCACTTCCAACCCAGCCCTCAGGAGAGCCAAGAGCAGGGTCTGGAGGAAAGACACACAGGAAGCTGGCAGGAGCAAAGCGTGACCTGGGTCCCGAGGATGGGACGGGCCATGGCCAGAGGAGAGGAAGAAGGAAATGAGGGAGGCTTGGAGGAGGGGAGGGGCTGGAGCAGCACAGACCAGGACTGAGGAGAGGCGTGCCCTTGGCTCACCCCACGCTTGTGCAGCTCCCCCCCCATAGGGGGGCCAGCTCTTTCCCCACATGCTCCCCTTCTCTGTCACAGGGGTCTGGGTTGGTAGTGATGCATGTACAGTCCACTCGCAGCACATTTACTTTCTCCCCAAAGTTTCAACCCCCATGGGCTTGTGGAGCTCCCCTCCTGGCCTGGCTGCCTCCCAAGCTTAGAGCAGCCTCCCAGGACATCCTGTCCCTACCCCTCACCATCCTGCCTGGAGCTAAGCTCTGTCCCTGTCCAAAGTAGGGGCAGAGCTGTGTCTACTGGAGGAAGATAGATGCCCTCTCATGTGTCCCCTGACTATGTCACCTGAGCAGACGCCCCACCACCACCTGTCCCTAGCACTTGTACCACCTCCTATTGCATCCAGTGCCAGCTGTCATAGAGATCTGGGGCCAATGTCATCCCAACCACATCCTGTTTGACTCAGCAGATGTGAACACCTCAGCCTACAAGGTGAAGGATCAGATAAAGATCCTGGACACAGAAGACCACAGAGGACAGGAAATGCCCTAGCCTCTCTGCACACACTGACCACACCTTTGTCTGACACCATGACCCGTGCACCCAGGACCACTGAGTCTAGGTAGATGGGTAGGGAACTCTGGAGGGTCAAGTTTAGAAAGCTGCGAGAAACAGAGAGACACATCCAGGGCTGGGAAGAGCCTGTAAAGGCCCACGAGTCCCTGCTGCTCAGTGTAGCCTGTCGCTGATAATGTAGGAAATGCAGAGAGCCCCAGGGCCCCAGTGCTGCCAAGGCAATGGCACAGGTGATCTTTATGCAGAGGAAAGCAGTACAGTGCTGGTCCACACACTCCTCTGCACCCAAGCCCCGGCCTTCCCCCAAATCCACTGACCACTGCAAAAGCCTCTTTCCCAAAGGAAAACACACTCAAGCTAGAGCAGCAGTATCAGCAACAGCCGGAAGCCACGCAGGCATCCGTCAGAGGGTGAGGAGGAGAGGAACACGTGCACCTCACATACAACACCACATCCCCCAGCCTTGGGAAGGGAGGAAGCTCTGACACACGCTACAACGCAGATGAGAACGGAGGGCCTCGTTGTAAGGGAAAAAACCAGACCCACAGGGACAGATACTGTATGACGCCACATCCATGAAGCCCCCAGAGTCGTCAAACTCAGAGATGGAAAGCAGAGCACAGTGCGCAGGGCCTGGGGATAGAAGACCAGGGAGAAGGTGCTATATATATATATATGGACAGCATTTGTGTCTGGGATGCGGAACATTCTGGGGCTGAAGGGAGACGATGAGGCCCAACACTGTGACGGCTCACCATGTACTCACTTCAGAACAGCTCAAATGCTCTCTTTTATGTGATGCATATTCCCAGTTAAAAATAGTAATAATAAGGTAAATCAAAAGCAAGGCTGTTCAGGTTGCCTAAGCCAAAGAACGCTTACAGAACATTCATGGAATTCCAATGCCAGGCCCAGAAATGAACTTGACTTTCAAGGGCCACAGAACATGGCCCTGTGGGGCTCAAGGTTGGGGCGGACACAGCTTTAAGAAGGGCCATAGAGGCCAGAGAGATAGCTCAGAGGACTAAGTGCCTGCTTAGGCAAGGGTAAGGACCAGGGTTCAATCCCCAGCATCACATGCCACTCCGTCCCCGCCCCCAGGCCAAGGAGCTAGAGATCAGGCGTGGTGGCGCACTCCTGTAATCCCTGTGCTGGGGAGGCTGAAAACAGGAAGATCAAGCTGCATAGTGAGACCCTGTACAGAAGAAGGAGGAGGAGGAAGAGGAGGAAGAGGAAGAGGAGGAAAAGGAGAAGGAGGAGGAGGAGGAAAAGGAAAAGGAGGAGGAAAGGAGGAGAAGGAGGAGGAGGAGGAAAGGAGCAGAGGAAAG